GAGAGAGAGAGAGAGAGAGAGAGAGAGAGAGAGAGAGAGAGAACTAACACAGATCAAGATGTCAATTATAGCCTTTGGTAAGTGTTGGGAAAAGGAAAGGAGTGAGAGGTGGGCATGGGCGTGGAGTGGGGTCACCTTTGTGATAGAAACCTGCAGCTAAGGAACAGTGGTACTTACTTCAAAACACTTGAGATGGACTGTACCAGCCTGCTTCTACTGTTGTGATCTGTGTGGTCTGGGACTGTTTGGCTTTCTTTGGTATCTAGAATCATGGTCTTTCTCTGGACTGCTCAAGATGGACCTGTTTCAGAGCATAAGTGCTTTCTAGAGTCTTCCCAGGGGCTTTAAGCCCCAGCAGGGACTCAGAAAATCCCATGGTCTGGGTTCTTGGTTAGCTAAGTGGGTCTGGGACTGGGAATCATGTGGGATAACAACACTGTTGAGAAGTCTGTGCTCCAGAAGACACCCAGCTTACTTATTTTGGCAGGTTAGGTTCTATTTCTTCCTAGTATATTTAGCTTGAACATATCTGGCTCCTGGAGTGATAAAGGTGGGTATCATTCATTACCCGAACAGTGAATAAGAACCCATGAGGGGCTGGGACATTCCTCAGGTGACAGTTTACCCAGGATACATAAATGTATTCCATCCCCAGCACCAAATGAACCGAACTTGATGGCACATGCTGTATGTAACTCCAGAACTCAGGAGGTAGAAGCAGGAGAATCAAAAATTCAGGGTTGAAATGGCTTAGCTGGTAAAGGCACTTGCCACCAAGCCTGACAACCTAGTTCTGTCCCTGGGACACATGTGGTGGAGATAAGAACTGACTTACGTAAGTTGTCCTCTGATCTCCACAAGCACTGTATGATGCACAGAGGCATGTCTACACCCACACCCAGATAAATAAATATAATAGAAGATTTTTTTGTTTGTTTTTCCAGACAGAGTTTCTCTGTGTAACAGTCCTGGCTGTTCTGGAACTCGCTCTGTAGACCAGGTTGGCCTCAAACTCACTGAGATCCACCTGCTTCTGTCTCCCAAGTGCTAGAATTAAAGGTGATCACCACTGCCTCCCAGCTTAGGAGAAATTTTTAATAAAAGAAGTTCAAGGTCATCCTGAACCACAGAGCAAGTTCAAGTCCAGTGTAGGCAAGGGATACGAAGACTAGGCCAGGGTTTGGGCTCTGGGCAGGTGTGTCCTGGTGTGAGCTGTACTCAAGTTGGAATCTGTGCTGTTCTAAGCCTAAGCCCCACTTGGCATCAGGTTACAGACATGTGGCTGATGAGGTCCCTGTACTACAGGAGGGAAGAAGGGCAAACCATAGAGGTATGTGGATGGAGTCAGGGCTCAGTGTGGGGCCAAAAGCAGTAAGGTCCACCAGATCCTGAGCTGTCTCACTCCAGTCAAGTCTTCATAAATGACCTCCTGGCCTTCAGTCCTGGTTTTGACTAGCCCTCTGCTGTGGAAAGCACTCTGGCATGCAATGTAGCTCCTTTGAAAACTTCTTAGGGCACTGAGAACCAGATGTTTTTCCTCTGGTCTTTGACATTGCCTGCCGAACATCCAGGCCCTGTGGCTGTAGCAGGAGGTACTGGGAGTCCAGTCACAGCCTCAGGGAGAGGCTGGGGATGGAGTCACAGTAGATGCACACACCAGGAAGATGATGGAAACAAGAGAATTTTTGCTTGAGCTGATTCTCATCTAGGCTAGCAGTAAGCAGATTATCTGCCTACCACAGTTCCTCAGGGCACGTTCTAGAAAGTACTTTGACATCCAGACTAGGCAAGAGAGGCACATTACAGGTGAGACAGAGGGGGCTGCATGGGCAGTACAGACCTCCCTGGACAGTGTCTGCCCCTAGACACCCCATCCCTTATGTTCCCAATCCCCAACTGCTCTTGGAACTTAAAGGCCAGTAGGTCTTTTTGTGTAGTCCTTGATAAACAGACATTCCTTAAAGGAAGCGGGCACCAGGGGCCTGAAGGATGGCTGAGCAGGTAGAGGAACTCTCTGCCAAGCCTAATGACCTGAGTTCAAGTCTGTCCTGAGTTCAAGGTTGTCCTGGGCCACAGAGTAAGTTCAAATCCAGTCTAGGCTACATGAGACACTATCTTAAAACATAAAGTAAGATTAAAAAAAGAACAACAACAACAACAACCTTGGGCTGGTGGCAAGGGATGTGAAGGAGAGAGCTATGTGGTAGGAGAGAACTAGTTCACACAAGTTGTCCTCTGACCTCCACATAAATGTCTTGGCATGTATGTATGGCATCTTCCCACCCATTTATTTAAAAAACAGAAAGTGAGAAAGAATCAGGATACACGATGAGGTAGGACATAAGTTGCTCCTCACCCATAATCTGCTCTGTTCATGTCAAGGGCAGGGACCGGAGGGGAAGGGAAGGGAAGCCTGAGAGGAGATGCTGGTGTGGGGGCTGAAGGAAGGGAAATGGTACCCATACCCTTTGTGACTGCCCGTCATCTGCACATGTCCACACGAGCCTACAGCCACGTCTCTGGAGTCCCCATCTTTTGTCTATTTCCCCAGACAACCTAAAAATAATTTCCATCTAGCTTCAGGATTCGTGATTTGATGCACAGGATGCTTGCCTAGCATATACACTTTTCTACCCACATTTTACTCTAAGATCAACATCCAGTTCAAGTGAGTCTGCATTATTTATGCAGAGTGAGCAAGAGGCAGCCCAGAGCTGTCTGGAGTCAGTCTATAGAAGAATGGTCCTGCCAGAGTTGGTGGGGTTATCTCTGGAATCCCAGTGCTTGGGAGGTTGAGGCAGGGTGGCTGCTGTGAGTCTGAGGTCAGCATGGCTTACATAGCAAGACCCCTCCATGTCAAAAAAGAAGGGACGAACAGTCCTTATGAAGATGACAAGATTAGACAACACGCATGGATTAATGATGACAGTGTGAAAGAGGACCCTGCGGCCAGCACATGGTCCAGGAGGAAAAGGCACTTTTAAAAAAAGACACCTATTTATTTTACATCCTGCCCGCAGCGTCCCCCACATCCTCCCCTCCCAGTCTCTCTCCCCCATTGCCCACCCTACCCTACCCCAGCTCCTACCCCCCAATCTCCTTCTCTTCCATTTCTATGCAGAAAAGGGCAGGTCTCCCATGAATATCAACAAAACATGGCATGTCAAGTTACAGTAAGAGTAAGCACTTCCCATGTATTAAGGCTGGGCAAGGCGACCCAGTATGAGGAGTAGGGTCCCAAAAGCCAGTAAAAGAGTCGGAAATAGCCTCTGTTCCCACTATTAGGAGTCTCACAAGAGGACCAAACACAACTGTTACATATATGCAGAGTACCTAGATCAGTCCCATGGAGGCTCCCTGGTTGTCCATTCAGTCTCTGAGAGCCCCTATGAGCCCAGGTTACTTGATTATGTGAGCCTTCCTGTGGTGTCCTTGACCTCTCTGGCTCCTACACTCCTTTTTCTCTTCCAAAGGATTTCCGAGCTTGGCCCAGTGTTTGGCTGTGGGTCTCTGCATCCTTCTCCATCAGTTGCTGGATGGCACCTCTCTGGAGACAACTGGGCCAGGCACCAATCTGGTCACAGGAAATGGCCAGGCAAGTTCAGGCTACTTATCTGCTATTGCTAGAAGTCTAAGCTGGGGTCCTCCCTGTAGACTCCTGGGAGATTCCCTGGTGCCAGGCTTCCACCCAACCCCTAAATGCCTCCCACCCAGATATCCTCTTCAGTACTCTTCCCCTCCATGCCATCCCCAACCTGATTGCTCATGGTCCCATTCCTATGCCCTCAGTCCACTCACAAAATCTTTTCTATTCCCCCTTCTCTGGGTCTATGGATCGTAGCATAGTTATCTTTTATTTTACAGCTAATATCCATGTATACGTGAGTACATACCATGTTTGCTTTTATCAGTCTGGGTTACCTCACTCGGGATGATTTTTTCTAGTTCCATTCATTTGCCCTGAAATTTCCTGGTGTCCTTGTTTTTAACAGCAGAGTAGTACTCCGTCGTGCAAATGTACCACATTTTCTTTATCCATTCCTCAGTTGAGGAACATCTAAGTTGTTTCTATGTTCTGGCTATTATAAATGATGCTGCTATGAACATAGTTGATCAAGTGTCCTTGAGATATGATTGAACATCCTTTGGATATATACCCAAGAGTGGTATAACTGGCTCTTGAGGTAAATTGATTCCCAGTTTTCTGAGAAACTACCACACTGATTTCCAAAGTGGCTGTACAAGTTGGCACTCCCACCAGCAATGGAGGAGAGTTCCCCTTGCTCCACATCCTCTCCATCATGAACTGTCACCTGTGGTTTTGTTCTTAGTCATTCTGACAGGTGTACGGTGGAATCTCAGAGTCATTTTGATTTGTATTTCCCTGATGCTAAGGGTGTTGAACATCTCCTTAAGTGTTTCTAGGCCACTTGTGATTCTTCTGTTGAGAATTCTCTGTTTAGAGCTACACCCCATTTTTAAATTGGATTATTTGGTTTGTTGATGTCTAGTTTCTTGAGTTCTTTATGTATTTTGGAAATCAGCCTCTGTCAGATGGGTGGTTGGTAAAGATCTTTTCCCATTCCGTAGGCTGGCATTTGTCCTATTGATGGTGTCTTTTGGAAATGGCACTTTAAAAAAAAAGATTTAGTTTTTATTTCAAATGCATGAATGTTTAGACTGTATGTGTATCACATGTGTGCCTGGTGCTCAAGGAGGCCAGAAGATGGAATTGGATCCCCTGAACTGGAGTTACAAATGCGTGTGAGCCACCATGTATGTGCTGAGAGCTGAATCCAGGTCCTCTGCAAGAGCAGCTAGTGCTCTTAACCACTGAGCCATTCTCCAGCCCCTCAGCTGACTTTTTATAAGTTTGCTTATTAGATGACTGAAGAGTAAGGACATAAGTGTCAGATTAAGAGAAAGATCAAAAGGTGTGCTAGACTGCAGGCAAAGGAAAGGAAAACATAAGTTGTGTACTGGTGATGAGTTGATAGGGAATAAAGAGGCTGGGAGAGAAACAGTATCTACTCCTTTGTTTTCAATGGATTTCCCAGAACCTGTGAAATGTGTTACCTTATTTATGGGGCAAACATATTTAATGACTCTGAAGAGTTCATTAAATTAAGGATATTGGGTCTGGAGAGATGGCTCAGCAGTTAAGACCATTGCTGCTGTTTCAAAGGACTCAAGTTCAGTTCCCAGCACCCATGTTGGATGTCTTGCAACTGTAACTCCAGCTCCTAAGGATCTGGCGCCCTCTTCTGGCTTCTGCGGGTACCCACATGCACTTGAGCATCCTCACACACATAAATAAAAATTCAATATAACTCTTAAAAAGTTAAGGCACTTAGTCTGAGCAGAGATAGTACATACATTTAATTCCAGCACTCGGGAGGCAGAGGCAGGCGGGTTTCTGTGAGTTCAAGGCCACCCTGGTCTACAGATCAAGTTCCAGGACAGCCAAGGCTGTTACATGGAGAAACCCTGTCTCAAAAAACAAAAACAAAACAAACAAACAAAAAAACAAGAATGAGGAGACATGGGCAATTCCTCTGAATTGTCCAGGTGAAGACCCTTCTAGTCCCATGCCCATCCTGACCTCTCTTGTAGCACTGTTCCTGCTTCCCTGTGCTCTTTTCGATTCTTGATCATGCCAAGTGCATTCCTACCTCAGGAACTTTGAACTTGTTGTTTTCTCTGTCTGCTCTTTTCATCACTCAGCCTCAGTCCAAATGCAAGCCGGCTCTCTGCTTCCAGATTTTTGTCCTGGAGCTTTGAGTACACTCTGTTCTGAAGGACTGGGTTGGGGCAACAGGATGCAAGCTCCTAGCCTGAGCTGGCTGGCATCCTCCCCAGCCCAAGTCCCGCCCAAGGTTGCGGGATGGAGCAGTGTGCATGAGTCATCGGCCACAGACACAGTCCCCTTGTTGGAGGGACCTGAGTAGTTATGTTGTGGCTAACTCCAAGAGCCAAGGGCTCAGTTGAAAGGGGAGGTTAGGAATTTCCCCAAGTTCCTCAGAATCACACAGGTCCAGGAGGGAGCTGGAGAGTGGGATAGCTGAGAATGGCTTGTGTAGATGATGTTCTCTGAGGACTGCCATGTCTCCAGCCCTCATGTGGACAATGCAGGAAGTTCTCTGAGGACTTTTGTGTCCCTCACCTAAGCTTGAGTAGTCTATGCAGGTGTAGATGGTACTTACAGTGGTCTCACGGGGCTCACTATCTATTTATCCACCCACTATGTGCTGGGCATCGGATGCCTTACCATAGGTCAAACCCTGCACTCCAAGAGCCTGCAATCTGTGCAGGGAGACCAATTTACCCACCAAGTCTACAGCTTAACTGAGGAGGGAAGGGCTCAGAGTGGGGGAGCAAAGGTGGGGGTGTGTGTCCTGCAGGTGATGATGGGCAGTAAGAGGACTTGCTAAAGAGGCAGGGTAGGGGCGCTCTGCAGGAAGCCAAGCCAGCTCGGGTATGTTACTTTCTTAAGGATGATGTAACAAAGTACCACGGAAAGGACGAGTTAGTCACAGAAATTTATTCTCCTGCTCTGGAATCTGGAAGCCAGAAATCAGTGTTGACAAGACCTCTTCCTTCAAATGCCTGACTCAGGGGAGGATGCTTCTGCCTCTTCCAGCTTCTGGTTGCTTCAGGCATTCTTTGGCTTGTGGCCACATCTCTGTGGTTTCTGTCTTCATCACCACATGGCTGTCTTTCCTCCGTGGCTTGCTTGTATGTCTCTGTGTCTTTACATGCCTTCTTCTCCTTCGTGTGTGTATACATGTATCTTCACCCTAGTCCCTTCCATCATTCTCCCTCCTCCTTCCCTCTTCCTCTCCTTCTCCCAAAACATGCCCTCCTTTCCTTCTCTTCTCCCTTTCTCTTCTCTACCCCGCTCCTCTACTTCTTATTTTGTTTTCCATTTTTAGACTGGATTTCACTCTGTAACCCAAGCTAGCCGTGAATTCACTGTGTATACCGTATAGCCCAGGTTGCCCTTAGACTCACAATACTCCTGCCCCAGACTTATGAGTGCTGGGATAACATGTGCACTGTACCATTACACCCACCTTCAAATTTCTCTGTTTTTTTATTTTTTAAAAATTTATTTATTTGTATTTTATGTACATTGGTGTTTTGCCTGCATATATGTCTGTGTGAGTGGTGTCAGATCCATTGAAACAGAAGTTACAGACAGTTGTGAGCTGCCGTGTGGGTGCTGGGAATTGAACCTGGGTCCTCTGGAAGAACGGCCAGTGCTCTTAACTGCTGAGCCGTCTCTCCAGCACCCCAAATTTTCCTGTTTTAAGAAGGTACCAGTCATTCTAGATAGGGGCCCCCTCTGCTCTAATGATCTAATTTAACTCTATTAAACTGGCAGAGATCCTGCTCCACATAACGTCACCTTGAAGGTTCCAGTGGTTAGGACTTCAGTACATCTTCTTACAGGCTGGAGCACTGGGACACATCTGAGCAAAAGCAGTGAGCAAAGGCTTGGAAGGAGGGAGCTCAGGGCCAGATGGCTGGCTATTTTCTATTCATCCACAACTTTAAAAAAAAAAAATCCATTTCCCAGATGGGCCTCACACTCACCATCCTCCTGCCTCAGCCTTAGTCCTGGCATTCAGCATCGTATCTAGCTTGGCAGTGATCCTTGCTCTGTTGGCAACCTGTCTCTTCAGGGAACACCTCTGCCGTTGACTTTGCTGTGTGGGCACCTGCCTCTGATGTAGGCCACTTAGTCTTCTGCACAGTGCTCAGGTGGGCACTTTCTCATCCTTGAAGCCTCCTCTGAGCCCCATGTTAACCCTGGCCATAGAAGCCTTGAATCTGGTCCCTCAGTCACATCCCAATCACCTCTCTGTCCCTGTCAGACTTCCTACCTAGGCCTGGATGTCTCCACCACAGGGTGCTCACGGAGGCAAAACTCCTGATTGTTGGGTGGGCTTTCTTACTCTGGACCCCACTGTATTCTTCCTAGGATTCCCCTCAACCACCCAGAGCCCCACAGAGTCCCCTCAGCCCCACCTAGGCCAGGCCTGCTGTAGATTACAGCCCAGCTGAAGGACCCCTACCCAACTATCTCCCTTACCTGTCTGTCAGGGTTACCCCACAAAGGCTTATGCTCTGAGAGTAACTGGGCATTCCTCTTCAGGAGCCTCACAGGCTATGCACAGCAGGTTCAAGTCCTACAGGAGACCTGCTGCCCAAGCTTGGGATGGGCTACTCTGGGAGGCTTCATCCAGAACCAGCTGGCTATGAGGTGAGGGAAGTTGGGCAGCCCTGCTTGACAGCTGGAGAGGTCTCAGGCCTCCTTTCGTATGCCGAAGCTGTGGGGCTTCCCCTCCCATTTTCCTCATGTGTACCCTCCTGGCTAGAGCACAGCCCTGGTGCACTCCCAGCCTCTGGCTGTTAGTGGCCTTTGGACTAGGGAAGTGGAGCTTCTGGGGCCCCATGCCAGGCTGGCACTCGCAGCAATCAGGGAGAGGCTCAGAACTGTCAGTAACACCCACAGGGCAGTCGCACAGGGCCCTCACCCAGCCAGTCCTGTTCTCCCTTCTCCTGATTAGAGGTGGAGTTCAGAGCTGGCCCTGGAGGAGGTCTGGGTAGAGCACAGGACAGACCTAGCTGCAGGCACCATGTGGCCACTTGCCCTCAGCCCACATGTGTGGTGTTGTGGAGTTTGGCCTCTGGTGGAGGCCCTGGCTACTCCTGCATCCCTGGAGTGGAACACAGTGAGGTGTGCTCACCACCAGACCCTCTCTCCAGAGGCCCAAAGACTCATTTAGGAGGGTGAGCCAGCCATGTCTATTTCAGGTTTCTGAACCACTAGTCTAGTCTGGGGCTGCCCAAAATAGCCAGTTAATGGAAGCCAGTGTCTGCAGGAACAGTTAGGGTCCTGAGGCTCCTATTGTCTAGTGCGGTCCCAAGTGGGGTGTCAGGAGTTAACCTCAGCCTCTGCTCCCTCCTTCTTCCCCTTCTCCAATGTAAGGCATGGCTTGTTCTGACCCCTAGATAAACTCTTGATGTTTCTGGAACTCTGTCTCTAACAGCTTCTAGAGAGCAATCATATGGCTGCCACAAACAAAATGCTTCTTAGATGACTGGCTTCATGGGAAATTTTATGACAGAATGAGTTCCAGGGGCTTTCATCCTACTGCTCAGGGGAGAAGCCATCTCTGCAGCTGGTGTAAGCTTGTGCGGGAGGTTAGGTTCAGTTGGGTTGACTTCTTTCTCCAGAATCATCCATCTTGCCCTTCTCCCAGGAAGCACTCTGGTTTAGGGCCATTTACTCTATCGCACAATTCCCAGAGGGACATCTTTTAACCTGTTTCTTACATCCTTTTCCTGGCCTTATGCCAGATGTAGCTTCTGAGGCCTTGACTTCAGCCACTGAGACAGTATCGTCTTAGCTGGGTTTGCATGTCCCCAGTGGGGCATGGCCTTGGTCCTCTACTAAAGGTGGTAAACCCTGCTATGGCTTCACTGTTTCCACCCCCTAAGCCTGGAGTTTGTGGTCCAACATGCATCCATGCTAAGAGGGGTGAGACATACAGGGACACCCAGCTTGCTTGACATTGTTCAGATACCTTGTATCCAGTAAGATCTTGCTGTGTACCAAGTCCTCATCATGTTCTCAGAGACCATAGAGACAGCCTGCTCAACAGGCTGCTTATCTAGGGGTACATTACCCCAGCCCAACAAGTCTTCTTAACTTGTTATCTAGCTGAGGATGACCTTGAATTCCACATCTTGAGAGTAGCATGGATTCTCTTTGGTGAAAGCTGAAGGATCAGAGAAGTGGAGCAGCCAGCCATTAGAGTACTTACCTCTACCAATGCTCAGACCAAAGGGGCAAGGCTGTCCTCAGGCTGCATCCTCAGACTGACTGCCTCAGACTGTACAGCTCTAGATTGCATTCATCTCTATGACTCCTCAGACCACATCTCTCTCTTGTCTCCTGCTGCCTTATATTCCTTTCTATGCCAGCCATTATCACTCCTGTCTCCACTTCCTTAATGCTGGGATCAAAGGCATGTCACCCCAAGTGCTATGATCACCTTTGTGTGAACTCTATTTCTTTTTTAGATTGAATCAATTTCGTGTAGCCCCGGGTGGCCTTGAACTCACAGAGATCTGTCTGCCTCTGTCTCCTGAGTGCAGGCATTAAAGGCGTATGCTAACCACTGCCTGGCCTCTATGGCTAACTAGTGTGGCTAGCTTTGCACTCTGATCTTCAGGCAAGCTTTATTAGGTCATAAACAAAATTTCACCACACTTGAGTGCTGGGGCTACAGGGGTGCATCACCATGCCTGGTTTATGGACTAAGGATTGAACCTAAGCCAGCAGTCTACCAATCGATCTACAGCCCCAGTCTCCCAGCATTAAAACATTTTTATTTACTTAATTTTATCCCTTGTGCTTGCATGTTGATGTGTGTTGAGTACAGGTGTGCATATGCTGTGCTGTGGTGTTTGTGTGTGTGTGTGTGTGTGTTTGTCAGAGGATGATTAAGGGTGGCAGTCCTCCTGGGCTATCTGGTCTACCAGCTTCCAGGGCTTCTCCTGTATCTGTGTGTCTGCCTCTTATTACAACTCCTTCCCTTATGAAGATGTCAACAAGGTCTACCCCCTCCCCTTTAAGGTCCCCGTGGCAGACAGTCAAAGTTCACTCTGTGGAACCAATGAGTTTTTTTGGGTTTCCTTAGTGTAGGTGAGGGTTTACTGAAAGGAGTGTCGGTACTCCTCCCCACAATAGGCATCACCTGAAAAACTTTTACCCAGCAGGGATGAGCCTCCTCCCCTG